GCCCCAGTCCCCGTTCCCGTTCCCTCAGCCCTGCCCGTGCCCCGCTCAGGGCGCATCCCCTCCGCCCTTCCCACGGCAACACCTCCCCTAATTACCCCCGGCGGGCGTTTCATCGCCGCTGCCGGCTATAAATGGTGCCACCCTGGCATGGCCACAGCGGGGACAGCGCGGGGACAGGCACGGCTCGGTTTGGCACGGCTCGGTTTGGCACAGCCATGAGGATCGCGGGGACCCTGGCGCTGCTGGCGCTGGCACTTCTGTGCCTGACAAGTGAGTGACTCCTGCAGCTCCTCCCGGAACGTTCTCGGTGCTCTCGGGTGGTTCCTGCGCCGGGTGGGAAGGAGAAAATGTGATTTTATGTTTAAATGTTGTTATTTATCAAACACCGGGCACAGCTGGGGCTGGGATGGAGGGAGCTGCTCCTTGCTGGGCGCGACTCAGAGCTGGGTTCTGTGACTGGAAAGAACAGTAAAGCCTCAAAACCACCTGGGTTTATAATTTATTTTAAATTTCTGTCTGAGAAGGGAGCTGGGARCTGGTGGGGTCCTTTYCCCGTCCCCCTGACCAAGAGGATGCTCAGGCCACATAGAACAGCTGTAAATCACCTCTTTTAAAACCTGATTTTACCAGGTTGCAGAGARATTTGAGGGACATCCCTCTGAAAAACAGGGATCGGGGAGCAATTTCTTCAGCCTTTACTTGGCAATTTTATTTTCACTAAAATCTTGCAGTAAAAATGTATTTTTAGAGAAAAATAAGTGGATCTAAAATAACTGAGAGTCCACATCTCTGCAAGTAGCACAGAAGTTTAAAAGCATTAAGAACATTCAAGAAGTGAAATAATGAAAATGTAAAATGCCAAATGATGAAACAAAAGAATCTTTTGAGTAGCTYTGAAAAGGTCGCTTTGAAATTTGTYTCAACCCCAAACTTCTGCAGTTTAAATGAAATRTGATGGAAATTACTCATTCTTTCAGCATTTCATTAACTACAGAAAAAAGAAATAAATAGAAGTTCCTTCTTTTGGAATTCCAGGAAATCTCTTCCTTGAACTTTCTGGTTTATCTTGTCTGCTTGAAAACTTCATGAATCAACACTTTCYGAGCCACACCTTTCTGCATTCACTCCCAGGTGCAGAGTGGCTCCTGAAAGGTTACCAGAGAAAAAAAGAACATCTGAATGTCTGGGGGGAAGTGGAATAAATCAAATCCAGTTCCAGGATAATGAAAACTCAGTTAAACCTCTGGTGAAACAGATGGAAACTTCACCTGGAGCTTTATTTCTGCTCRTTTTCTTTATACTGAACAACTGGATTTGATGTAAAGATGTGAACAGGTTTATGAAAGGAGATCTTTCCAGAAAGTTTAACCTTTAGAGATCAAAAAAGCTAAATTTATTCTGAAAGATAAGCGCTGGAGCTCTGCTCCAGAGCACAATTAGAAAGTTTAACCTCTGAAGATCAAAAAATTCATATTTAATGCCAAAACCAGGTGCTAGAGCTCTGCTCCAGAACACAATTAGAAAGTTTAACCTTTGAAAATAAAAAAAAAATCATATTTAATGCCAAAACCAGGTGCTAGAGCTCTGCTCCAGAGCACATTCCTGCTCCTCCTGTACAGGAATCTCTCCCTGGGAGCTTTTACCCTCTGAAGGTGCAGGATGATGATTATGGGATAGCAGAAGGACAAACACATTCCTAAAGAAAGTCCCCAATGTGTCAGCAGCGTGGAGCCCCGCCAAGGCGTGATTACTTTGTGGGAGGTGTAATTAGCATTGCTTAAATGAGCTCCTTGAACCCCATCTGAGAACGGGGCTCCCTCCTGCAGCAGCCAGGTAAAAATAGGAACAAATCAGCTTAAAACCCAGACTGGAACAAAGGAAAACACTTCCTAAAGCAGGAGAATGAGCCAAAATGTATCAGCATTGATATCCAGAGTTAATATTGTATTTACTCAGGGAATTAYCCCACTATTGACAGAAAGGCCACATGGAACAGGCACGTGTGGTTTGCACACAGCCACACGCCGCTCGGATAAATTCAGGAATTCAACCACCAGGTAATCCTGGACATGGGATTTGATATTGACCCCGGGCTGTCCGTGGTTTTCTGGTGAGAAATGGAACAAAGGCTCCATTCCCTCCCCAGCCAAGGCTGCTCCAGCAGGTGACAGGAGGCTCTGAGGTGAATAATGCACCGAAATCCGCCTGTTTGACAGAATCTGGCACTTGGGCCTCATCAAACACTGGGAGCTCTGGCACTGTTGACATTTAAGGAGGTGAAAATTCAGTGTTGATGAGTGAAATCATCCTGGTTTGYACCTGAGTGTTCCTTAACTGTGGTTTTAATTTTCCCTTTTGTGATTCTGTTTTCATTGCAGATGCTGCCAAACATGAAGAGGTGAGTGATTTCCTTTTTTTCTTCTGGATAAAAATACAAAGTTTGTAACAACAAAACCCCCTGTTACACTTCAATTAAATGCTGCCAATGTGTTGAGATTTCGGCGAGAAATCCCCAAGTTTGGGATGTGGCGTTTCTACAGAGTTGCCTTGATAATTTCCAGATGTTTTCACCTCTTTTGCATTTTGGGCAAGAAATTTTAAGCCAGGGAAGTCTAGATTTTAAAAATATAGTGCCATCATCAAATAAATATAAGGTTTTCCCATTTCCCTGCCATATCCCTCATTTCCATGCCCCATCCCACATTTGGATGTCTTGTCCCCCATTCCCGTGCCACATCCCCCATTCCTGTGCCATATCCTCATTTCTATGCTCCATCCCCCATTCCTGTGCCATATCCTCATTTTCCTGCCACATCCCCCCTTCCCGTGCCACGTCCCCCATTTCTATGCTCCATCCCCTATTCCTGTGCCATATCCTCATTTCCCTGCCACATCCCCCATTTGGGTGCCACATCCCCTGTTCCCATGCCACATCCCCCATTCCCATGCCCCATCCCCCGTTCCCGTGCCCATTTGGGGCTGTGAGCACCCAGAGGTGCCCGTGTTTCAGGTGGACTGCAGCGAGTACCGCAGGCTGGAGCGAGGGCGGCCCATTTACTGCGAGAGGCTCTACCAGCCCTTCTGCGGCTCTGAYGGCAAAACCTACAACAACAAATGTTCCTTCTGCAAGGCCATGCTGTGAGTACAGAGTCCCCATCCTCCTCAGCCAAAAATATGGGGTTGGCTGAGTTTTCTGGGATTTCCACTCCTTTTTTAGGGTTGTTACTTCTCTGCTCCTTTGCTTTACCTTTGCACAATAATTGTTCCTCCCACCAACAACGTTCAGCTGATCTGAAAAACAAATGATGCTGATATTTGGGTGGGAATTTCCTATTCCAGCAGGAACTATAAARGAGGGGACTAAAAAATGACCCAGATATTTAGAGCTGAACTTCCAAATCCTGCAGGAAATGTAGAATAGGGAAGGAAACAATGACTGATATTGGTGTGAGCAACTTCCAGCAGAAATTGTAAAGTTGGGCACAAAAAGTGACCCTGATGTTTGCGTGAGCAGCTTCCTATTGCAGCAGGAGCTGGGAAGGGGGGCAGGAGCACCTGCACCCAACTTGGGTCAGACAAGAATTCAGGAGTGGTGCTGGAAATACCTTGGGTTTCTGGATAAAATCTGTAATTTGGAAAGGAAAGCTGTTCACAGATCAGTGCCCTCGTGTCTGCTGTGAGTGTTTATGGTGTCTCCCCCACCAGCAAAGGGTTGCAGAGGGATTTGGTGCATCATGTGAAGGTTTGTGTGTGCAATGTCCGTCCTTTCCTTGCAGGAGGAGCAGAGGGGCCCTGCACGTCAGGCAGGTGGGAACCTGCTGAGGAGCCCTGGTGACACAGGGGACACAGCTCCACACTGCCCTGCCACCCATCCCTGATCCCAGCCATGCTGCCATTGCAACCCAAACTGAGGGGAATCACCCCAATTTCCCTGATTCCAACCCAAACCCTGAGGAGAATCACCCCCATCCCTGATTCCAACCCAAACCCCAAGGGAATCACCCCAATTTCCCTGATGCCAGCCATGCTGCCATTGCAACCCAAACCCTGAGGAGAATCACCCCCATCCCTGATTCCAACCCAAACACTGAAAGGAATCATCCCAATTTCGCTGATGCCAGCCATGCTGCCATTCCAACCCCAACCCTGAAGGGAATCACCCCCATCCTGCCATCCCAACCCAAACCCCAAAGGGAATTGCCAGCTGGAATTGCCAGCTCTGCTCTCTCACTGTTGTCTCTCTCTGCCCCAGAGCTGGGACTGACACTCGTGTCCTCCCAGAACTGTTCCTGTTGTTTCACATGAGCCCTTCGTTATTTGTTTGTCCCCATGGCTRAAGCTCAAACCTTCTGACAATATCCCCAGGTCTCTTCCCCTCGTTGATCAAATGTTGTCTTTCATTCACCCAGAAACTGTAGCARCTCCTTTTTCCCAAAGGGTTCAGCTTTCCCAGGCAGGTCTTTGACTCTCCCAGTTTTGTAGCTGGATTTTAATGCTTATTTTTTCTTCCCTCTTTGTACAATTCTGACTCCTGTATGTTGTTCAGTGCCTTGGTCTGCTTGTTTATTAAAATAAACCTTGACTCTTTTTTTTTGTCCATGGTGAACTTTCTAGGGAATTTCTTGCATCCATTGTTACCCAGTAATTCCCAAATTATAGAAAACTCTCATGGAGCAGGGGCTGAGTCCAGAGGTAAAAATCCCAAGCTTGGAATGCAAAAGTTGTGTCCGACTATATGGCCTCAAATACTGGAATCCACCCCCTAATCTGGCTCTTTTTTTCCTTTAAATGAAACAAATCTGGTAAACTCTAAGACTGTAGAAGTCTGTTAGATTTTTTTCATTTAAATATGATCACGAATCAGTCTCTTCTAAGAAATTTCAAGCTTTCAGACCTAAAGAAATTTCTGTTATGCTTGTACATCTTTATTATCTTCACTATAATTTGTGTCTTTTCCTTAATAATTGGTCATGGGAATGCATTTTCCCAGAATTAAAACTCTGAATGAYTGCCCTTAGTGGGCCTACAGGAGGAAAATTTTGGAACAGTTGGACAGAATAAATCCAGCCCTATCAGGAATTCTGTTTATCTGGAAAGCAGGTCCCAGCAATCAGGCAGCAGGAATGCAAATGAGCCAGGTAATGTCACAAAAGTTTCTCACAGCTCAGGGGCTTCAACCTAAAAAGGTTCTTACAACAGATCGCCTTGACCGAAAGAGATAAAAATAAGGAAACAAATCAAATTGAGAAAATAAGGCAGACTCTGAGGTTTCATCACGATGTCAGAAAATACAGCAGTTTTGTGGATATTTTCTGCCTTCCAGCCTCAGGAACATTCTGGGCACCCACTGCTTTGATTTTTGGGATATTTCAGGGGCTGTGCTTGTGCACCAACCCTAAGACACCAAATGGCTCACGCAGCCCCTGAGTGATCCCAGAACCTGTCACTCAGAGGTCTAAACTACAYCCCTGCATTTCCCCAGGGACTCAGTTTGTCCCTGCTAATTCCTGACAGGAATTGCTGAGCCAGGAGCAGCTGGAGAGCGGGACTTTGCCACATGGGCGCCTTTCCTGCCTCCAACCCCGCAGAGCTCRGGAGCAGCAGGGCAGCTCCTGCCACATACCAGAGCACGGAACATCATTTGCAAATTGCTGCAAGTGACACCTGAGGAAAATGCTGGAGTGGCTGGACAGGCTGGACAGTCGGGTTTGTGGGATGGAGCAATGCCATGGAAATATGGGGAAGGGAAAAGGTGCACAGCCTGAGCGAGCTGGTGGAACAGGGTCGGGTTCTGTAGGACAGAAAATAAAATATCGGTGTGGAGTGGGAGAATAGAACAGATCTTGCACTCAGGGAAGAGCAGAGTGCAAAACTCTGCATTGAAAAGCTATTTAAATACCCCTTATATGTCTGTAGAGCTGATGTATTTGGAGGTGAAGGACAAGTTTTCCTGAGATCTTAGKAAACATTTTTTTTCATTCTCAGACAAGAGCTAATGAAATCCAGGCCCTGTAATCAGTGAGATTCCTGCAGAGGAAACCACCAGGGCTAGGATAAAGCTGGCTGGGGTCACCCTGTGGCACCATTCTGAATGCACCCCAGGGGTTCTGGGCACTCAGACATGTTCTCCCAGCAGCTTTAATTCTGAAATGTTGAGTTTTTGCTCAGCATGTGCTTCATGTGACATTAATGTCTCATTTGGCCATCAGGAGTGTCCATGGCCAGGCTGGATGGAGCTCTGGGACAGTGGGAGGTGTCTCTGCCCTGGGAAAGAGGTGCAATGAGATCCTAGAGGTCCCTTCCAACACAAATAATTCCATGATTTATGAGCAGTTGGGATGGAGAACATCCATTCCCTCACAAGATTAAAATTTAGAAACATCTCTTAAAGAGGCCGGGAAGCACTGAGATTTTGTGGGTTCCAAAATGTTGTTTTTTTTWAAGGAAGGCATTAATTCCCTCAGGCTTTTTTTGTACCTGTGTTAGAGAAACAAGACTAATGAAACCTCCTTAGAATAAAAACTGTGAATGTCCAAATAGCTTCCACCAGCTGTGAATGAGACATAAGAAATGCAATGTGCTCTTTCATTTCACAGCTGATCAAGGCCAGGACAGAATTTTTGCTGATGGCTGTGCAGCAGCTCTGGTTTCTAATTGTTTTCCTTTGGGTTTTAATTTAGATATCCTCAAGTGCCTCAAATTCAAAACTTTCTCCTATGTAGCTGTGAAGGAAGGAAGAAAYGGAACCATCCAAAAACCTTCAAAGGTTCACATACAACTGATGGATGGGATAAATCTCTGGGTTTCTGTTAAGAAAAAAATGGGGTGGTTTTGGTTTCTGCTGTCTGTCTTGTAAGCACTTCACCATTCACACACTCTGACTGTTTCAATGACAGTTCAGCCCCAAGGCCCTGCCCAAATTCCTAAATTCCATTTAGTGTCTCTCGTGTCCCTTTGGCATCCTTCTCTCACTGCCGCCCCGTGTCCCCTGCCTCGGGGTGAGGGAGGGCAGGATGAGCACTGCTGGACCTGCATCTGCTCTTCCCAGGGGAAGCCTCACTTCCCTGTTTTTTCCACATTTTTGGGTCTAATTTTTTTGGCTGCTGCTGCTGCTGTTTTTGGTGCTATGTTTCTGTCACAGGTTGAACTCGGTGATCTCCGAGGTCTTTTCCAACCTCAGTGGTTCTGTGATGCTGTTGCCATATCCAAAAYCCACAGGGACTGCCAAGAATTTATTTTGTTAATACATTTGTTTGTTATTCCTACTCCACCACAGAGCGTTGTGSATTCCTCAGGGATTGTCACCAAACCAGCAGCTGAGTCTTTGCATGCTGTCACTCACCAAAAATAACTCACAAACAATCTGCTGGGTGAGGAACGAGCATTGGTACCCAGTCCCTTGGGCTTGGCATGAAACGTGACTTTACAATGTTGAGGAAATTGTGATTTCTGCTGGGATCCACCCAAACACAGTGATTTAAACACAGCTTRAGTACAGACCTGCAAACTCAGTGGCAAGGCATCTGGTGGGACTTTGGGGGCCAGGGTCAAGACTCTCCAGGCTAAATCACTTACAAAGCTCCTAGAGAACATCCARAGGATGGGGAAAAGCCTGGAGRGGCCATGGAGGAGCAGCTGAGGGCACTGGGATTGTTCAGCTGGAGGAGGCWSAGGGGAGACTCAGTGGGGCTGCAGCTCCTCCCGAGCCAGGAACGGCCGGAGCTGGGCCAGGGAGGGTCAGGCTGGAGAGCAGGGAAAGGTGCTGGGCACCTCAGAGGGTGCTGGCACTGCCCAGGCTCCCCAGGGAATGGTCCCGGCCCCGAGGCTGCCAGGGATGCACAGGGGGGATTGTTGGGGRKCTGGGCAGGGACAGGAGCTGGGCTGGGTGATCAGRGAATGGTTTGGGTTYCAGSACCCYAAAGCCCATCTCCYTCCACCCGTGCCACGGGCAGGGACACCTCGCACAGCCGAGCTCCATCCATGGTGCCTCCTGCGCGTCCTCCAGCCCAGCACAACCGTGACTCTTTAACTGCGCGTTCCGTAACGCTTTTATTGAATCCCGTCCCTCTCGCTCCGTGCTGAGCGAGCCCAGCCTGCGAAGCGCTGCAGCCGGCGCTCCCCGCAGCCGCCCCTCGCCCCCGGAGTCCTCAGCGCTCGCAGCACTCTCTCGGAGCCCTCGGCCGCAGCCCTCGAAGCCCTCGGCGTTCTCCCGGAGCCCTCAGCGCTCTCCTGCAGCCCTCAGCCCCCTCAATGCTCTCCCGGAGCCCTCAGCGCTCTCCCGCTCCCCTCAGCGCTCTCCCGGAGCCCTCAGCGCTCTCCCGGACCCCTCAGCGCCCTCAGCGCTCTCCCGGAGCCCTCAGAGCTCTCCCGGAGCCCTCAGCACCCTCAGCGCTCTCGCAGCCGGTGCCACACTGAAGGCGGCGGCGGGGCGGGGCCGGAAGTGCAGAGCGGAAGCGGAAGCGCGGGGCCGGAAGCGGAAGTTCGGCGGCGCTGGCGGAAGGGGCCGCGCAGGAAGCGGGGCCGGGGCTCCCCCGCGGCCACAACCGGGGCGAGGGCGGCGAGGGGAGCGCGGGCAGGTGAGGGCAGCGCCGGGCAGGGGAGGGGGACGCGGCCGGCTCAGCCCCCGGGGGTGGCGGGGCGGGGACCCGGAGGCTGCCGCCCCCTCCCGGCCCCGCGGCCTCGGGCCGGCCCCGCTGTCACAGGCCCTGAGGGCCCCCCCGTGAGGGAACGGCGGCGGCCGGACAGAAGGGAAACCTGTTTTTCTGTCGCGTATCTCAGCACAAATCACCGCGTCCTCGCGTTTTGCCCTCCCATTAGGGAGCGTCTCTCTGTATCCGGCTCTTGCCAGGCCGGCCCTGGCTGCTCTCGTCGCGTTTTTCCTCCGTTTTCGTCTCCGCGGAGTCTCTCCATGGCTTTTTAAGCATTTTTAGTTCCGTGGGGTATTTACTCATCAAGAATAGAGCACGTCGAGCTGTTGTTTCATGCGACGTTCATTGTCGGGAATTAATTGAGGTGGGGGCCGCAAAATCCCATTCGCCTTATTGTATGGATAAAGATCTTGCTGTAGACATTCTCTTTTTATTTTTAAATGGGTCAGCTCGCTAATGTCGAATGAGGTGTTGAAGCTGTGCTCATTAGCTCAGAATAGTCCCGGGAGGAGCTTTTATTGTGCGGAAATTGCAGACTCATAGAGACAAATCCTTCTTTTCCTCCTTTCCTTCATGGCAGGGGCAGCTTGTGCTCGTTGCATTTGTGTCTCGCAGGATTTTTTCCTGGTTTGATTGTTAATGTTTTTATTCCTGTTGTCTTTTGTCCTGGTCCTTGTGCCMTTCTCTTTCCTGCTGGATTGGAGCCAGCACGTGGCTGTGTCGCTGTGGAATTTTTTAGGTTTTGTCCTGTCCTCTGTTCGAGCTGAGTTATCCCAGGTGACTGGGGATTTATGTAATTCTTGTTTTCCTTGGAATTCAGTCTATAAATACTCAATCACCACAAACTGAGCCTTTCTTGCCTGCCCCAAAGACAGCAATAAGCCTAGAGTCTTCACTCCTGGCTGGAGAATGGAGCTGAGATCCATTTCATGCTATTCACAGGCACAAGGTGGGGATCTAATT